CCGGTTCAATCTGGTTCCATTTCCTAAGGCCGGTTCAATCTGGTTCCATTTCCTAAGGCCGGTTCAATCTGGTTCCATTTCCTAAGGCCGGTTCAATCTGGTTCCATTTCCTAAGGCCGGTTCAATCTGGTTCCATTTCCTAAGGCCGGTTCAATCTGGTTCCATTTCCTAAGGCCGGTTCAATCTGGTTCCATTTCCTAAGGCCGGTTCAATCTGGTTCCATTTCCTAAGGCCGGTTCAAACTGGTTCCAGTTGCTAAGGCCTTTTCAAACCGGTTCCGGTTGCAAAGGCCGGTTCAATCTGGTTCCATTTCCTAAGGCCGGTTCAAACTGGTTCCAGTTGCTAAGGCCTTTTCAAACCGGTTCCGGTTGCAAAGGCCGGTTCAGTCTGATTCCGGTTGCTAGGGCCGGTTCAATCTGTTTCCGGTTGCTAGGGCCGGTTCAATCTGGTTCCGGTTGCTAGGGCCGGTTCAATCTGGTTCCAGTTGCTAAGGCCTTTTCAAACTGGTTCCAGTTGCTAGGGCCGGTTCAATCTGGTTCCAGTTGCTAGGGCCGGTTCAATCTCGGGCTGGTTCAATCTGGTTCTGGTTGCTAGGGCCGGTTCAATCTGGTTCCGGTTGCTAAGGCCGTTTCAAACTGGTTCCGGTTGCTAAGGCCTTTTCAAACCAGTTCCAGTTGTTAAGGCCGGTTCAATCTGGTTCCGGTTGCTAGGGCCAGTTCAATCTGGTTCCGGTTGCTAAGGCCGTTTCAAACTGGTTCCGGTTGCTAAGGCCTTTTCAAACCAGTTCCAGTTGTTAAGGCCGGTTCAATCTAAGAGTTTAATGAAAATGAATGGAAAATCCCTGATTGGCAGAGATTATGGATGGAATAACAGAGGAAATCTGGTGATTCCCAGAAATCCTATGGTGCTGGAAAAGTCATTTGAAATAAAGAGGTGAAGACGGGATAAAAATAAAATTCCCTTTGTTTTAAAATGGCGTATCTTGGGAATATTGACACATTAGATTTAAAGAGATGACAAAAAGTTGAGAATACTGCTGGCTGCTAAAAAATCCGTATCCAGGAGATGGCGCAGTGAGCCTACATTGGAGTCAAGGATTTATGTTATGGAGAAAATGAGTGCATCAGTAAGACTGGAGATGAACACTTTGAATGTCTGGGAGGTAAAGGTTATTCTGTAAAACTATAAGATAAATGTATAACATACCCGGGTTAGATGCTAACGCTTCATTTTACATTTCTGATCTTTGGTTGTGTCTGTTTGGGTTGTAGAGTCACATGAAAAAGTTTGGACACCCCTATAAATGTTTTATTTCCAAAAATAGTTTGCAACAGTGATCTAATAACTACGGTGGCCCTGAGGTGCAAAACACAACATTAACGAATGCACAACAACATATAACTGATGGGCACAGTAATATTTCAGAATTCAATTGAGGTTTATTGGACTAACAGAAAATGTTTAATATGCATTAAAATAAAACTTGACAGGTGCAAAAATTTGGGCACCTTAATCATTTTATTGATTGGAACCCTTAACTATTTTTCACTGAAACACAAAGTTGGTTTGGTAACTTCATTAAGATATGAACTTCATAGCCAGGTGTGAGAAAATGTATTTAAGGTGGCCGGTTGGAAGATGATCTCCTGTTTGAAGATTCATCATGGGCGCCTTAAAACAACGCTCAAATGATCTGAAAACAAAGATTGTTCAAAGTAGTGGTTCAGGGGAAGGATCCAAAAAGGTTTCTCAGGGATTTAAACTGTCGGTTTCCACTTTGAGGAACATAGTAAGGGAATGGAAGACCACAGGGACAGTTCTAATTAATCCCAGAAGAATATCAGAGGCAGAGAAGAAGAATGGTGAAGGACAACCCAAAGACCTGCAGCATCATCTTGCTGCAGATGGTGTCCCTGTGCATCGTTCAACAATTCACCACTTTGCACCAGGAGAAGCTGGATGGGAGAGTGATGCGTCAGAAGCCGTTTCTGCAACGCCACAAACAGAATCGCTTAAGGTTCACAAAAGCACATTTGGACAAGCCAGCTTCATTATGGTATAAGGTCCTTTGGACTGATGAAACAAAGGTTGAGTTGTTTGGTTATAAAAAAAAAAGGCATCATGGCAAAAAAACAGTGTTCCAATAGAAACCCTTGCTACCCACTGTAACGTTAGGTGGAGGTTCCATCATGCTTTGCCAATACTGGCACTGGGAATCTTGTTAAAGTTGAGGGTCGCATGGATTCCACTTAATATCAGCAGATTCTTGAGAATAATGTTCAAGAATCAGTTGGGAAGTTGAATATATGCCGGAGAGGGATATTTCAGCAAGACAATGATCCAAAACACCGCTTCACATCTCCTCAGGCATTCATGCCGAGGAACAATTCCTATGTGGTGGAATGGCCATCCTGATCCCCAGACCTGGCTTCATCAATCTGCAGGTTTACTAGTGGTTCCTAGAATTCATCAGAATCATCAGACTGCTCTCGTCCATTTTGGAGCTGAAAAACTAGTCCATGCATTTGTTACTTCAAGGCTGGACTATGGTAATTCTTTACTATCAGGAAGTCCACAAACTGTAGTTAAAAGCCTTCAGCTGATCCAAAATGCTGCAGCCAGAGTTCTGATGAAAATGAAAAAGAGAGATCATATCTCTCCTATCCTGGCTTCTCTTCATTGGCTTCCTGTTAAATCCAGAATAGAATTTAAAATCCTCCTTCTCACATATAAAGCCTTAAATGGCCAAGCTCCATCTTATATCAGAGATCTGATTGTTCCTTATGTTCCTAACAGAGCACTTCGCTCTCAATCTGCAGGTTTACTAGTGGTTCCTAGAATTTCTAAAAGTAGAATGGGAGGCAGGTCTTTTAGTTCTCAGGCTCCTCTCCTGTGGAACCAACTACCAGTTTTAGTCCGTGAGGCAGACACCCTGTCTACTTTTAAGGCTAGGCTTAAAACTTTCCTCTTTGATAAAGCTTATAGTTAGGGTGGCTCAGGTTATCCTGAGCTATCTCTATAGTTCTGCTGCTATAGGCTTAGACTGCTGGAGGACATAGGGACCCCCATTTCATCATTCTGCTTCATTCTATCTCTATTCTCCCACTCTGCAGAATCTGTTAGTTCAATCTCTAACGTTCTGCTCTCTCTGCTTTTTCTCATAGTAGCTTCATCTGGTCTGTTCCTGTTTGGCTGTCAGCTGTGCTGCTGCCATCAACACCTTTGTTTCTAGATGTTTGAGATCGGCCTGTTTTCCAGTGTAGTCCTGTTTCTCTGACTGTGACTAACTGGATGTGCTCTCTTCGTCCTCTGACATGGGAGCTGGCTCGGAGCTCGTCTGCCTGGCTGTGTGTTTCCTGGACGGGGCCGCCTGTGGAGCTGGTTGACAGTTGCCTTTTGTATCTATGCTTCTTTTTCTATGTCTGCTTCTGTCTCCTTGAACCCCAGTGGGCCTCAGCAGATGGCCGCTCACACTGAGTCTGGTTCTGCTGGAGGTTTCTTCCTGTTCAAAGGGAGTTTTTCCTCTCCATTGTCACTACAAGCATGCTTAGTGTGAGGGATTGCTGAACAGTCAATGGCTCTGTTCGAATTAATGGGCTGCGTCCTCAGAAGGCCAGATGCAAAGGACGATTACATCAAGGTCTTCTCGGATTTCAAGACTCCTCGTTATGGGGCCTACAAATTCGTCCTTGTTTTTGCCCGATTTGAAGGACGGGTCCGATGTATCGTATGTATCCTTGGTTTTCCCAGGATTCATTGCGAGACCAAGCAAGCCGACTGCTCCGTGATCACAGGAACAGTGGTGAATATTGGAAGTTCAGTTTAATATAATCCAAGTCAGTGAATAGTTCCGTCTGAAATGAATGAAAATAGTTGTTTCTGTTACTGTGTAAATATGTTTAGCAGCAACATCAGAGATGTGCAGACTGACAGCAGCAGGTTATTTATCTGACTAAGGTTTCTATCATTACATTTGATTTTATCTGTTCCTGCTCCCGGTGGGTGGAACCTTTATTCCACTCTGGATTCTCATGAGTCTTTGTTCACTTTATAATACAAAATTTTTTGTATTATACAGTTTTACAGTTTTGAAAACTTCAGAATTCATTCTTTTCCTGCTTTGTGTGTACATTCTCATGGTTGCTAAGCAAGATAGCCTATGGCAGTAAAACCCACCAAAGGGGGTTTGAATTCACAGCCAAAACTCTTCTACTCTCCTTATTTTCAAGGACTTCTAAGGATCCAGTCCAGGTAGACCGCGTCCTTGAAGGATGCAGCCCATGAATTGGAACAGAGCCAGCGAGTCGATGCAATCAGCTGGTTTTCCTAAGATAGAAAGCTTTGAATCAATCTGACTGGATGATCTGATGAACTGGAAAGTGACCTGAAATGACATGTGAATATGTGCTATAGAAATAAACTGAACAGAATTGAATATCATTGAACATCTGGGATGAATTGAAACAGGCTGTCCATGCTTGGCGACCATCAAACTTAACCGAACTGGAATTGTTTTGCAAAGCAAAACGGTCAAAAATCCCTTCATCCAGGAACTCATTCAATGCAACAGGAAGCAACTAGAGACTGCAAAAGAAAGATCTACAAAATATTAGTCTCTTTTTGCTGAGGTGCTAATATTTTTACACCTGTCATATTTTGTTTTAATGCGTACTGCACATTTTGTGTTAGTGCAATGAACCTCAAATATTACTGTGTCAATCAGTTATTAGATATATCAAACTGAAAAAGCTGGTGCAAACAGCTAAATATTTATAAATGAAATAATCAAGGTTAATAGGGGTGCCCAACCTTTTTCATGACTGTGTCTTTAACAAGAATATCTTTCATCTTATGAGCTAAAGTTTCTCAGGAGACAGTTTGTGACTGATTCAGAATTATACTATGAAAAAGAAAATCTGACGGATTAGAAACGATGACATGAGGAGCTGAAACATTGCTAACAACTAAATGGTAGGACAGACCTTCTCTGATCTTCAGCCATGATCAACCTGACAACCAGCAGCTCCATGAGCAAAAACACTTCAGTTAATAACGAACACAGGGTTGGAAAAACTGACATGAAACCGGAGCAGAACAGCCATCCCAAAAAGAAACCGGAGCAGAATGAGGAACCGAAGCAGAACTGCCATCTAAACAAGAAACAGGAGCAGAACGAGGAACCGAAGCAGAACGAGGAACCAAAGCAGAACTGCCATCTAAACGAGGAACCAGAGCAGAACTGCCATCTAAACGAGGAACCAGAGCAGAACTGCCATTCAGACAAGGAACCGAAGCAGAACTGCCATCTAAACGAGGAACCAGAGCAGAACTGCCATCTAAACGAGGAACCAGAGCAGAACTGCCATCTAAACGAGGAACCAAAGCAGAACTGCCATCTAAACGAGGAACCAGAGCAGAACTGCCATCTAAACGAGGAACCAGAGCAGAACTGCCATCTAAACGAGGAACCAGAGCAGAACTGCCATCTAAACGAGGAACCAGAGCAGAACTGCCATCTAAACGAGGAACCAGAGCAGAACTGCCATCTAAACGAGGAACCAGAGCAGAACAGCCATCCCAATAAGAAACCGGAGCAGAATGAGGAACCGAAGCAGAACGAGGAACCGAAGCAGAACTGCCATCTAAACAAGAAACCGGAGCAGAACGAGGAACCGAAGCAGAACTGCCATCTAAACGAGGAACCAGAGCAGAACTGCCATCTAAACGAGGAACCAGAGCAGAACTGCCATTCAAACAAGGAACCGAAGCAGAACTGCCATCTAAACGAGGAACCAGAGCAGAACTGCCATCTAAACGAGGAACCAGAGCAGAACTGCCATCTAAACGAGGAACCAAAGCAGAACTGCCATCTAAACGAGGAACCAGAGCAGAACTGCCATCTAAACGAGGAACCAGAGCAGAACTGCCATCTAAACGAGGAACCAGAGCAGAACTGCCATCTAAACGAGGAACCAGAGCAGAACTGCCATCTAAACGAGGAACCAAAGCAGAACTGCCATCTAAACGAGGAACCAGAGCAGAACTGCCATCTAAACGAGGAACCAGAGCAGAACTGCCATCTAAACGAGGAACCAGAGCAGAACTGCCATCTAAACAAGAAACAGGAGCAGAACGAGGAACCGAAGCAGAACGAGGAACCAAAGCAGAACTGCCATCTAAACGAGGAACCAAAGCAGAACTGCCATCTAAACGAGGAACCGAAGCAGAACTGCCATCTAAACGAGGAACCAGAGCAGAACTGCCATCTAAACGAGGAACCAGAGCAGAACAGCCATCCCAATAAGAAACCGGAGCAGAATGAGGAACCGAAGCAGAACGAGGAACCAAAGCAGAACTGCCATCTAAACGAGGAACCAGAGCAGAACTGCCATCTAAACGAGGAACCAGAGCAGAACTGCCATCTAAACGAGGAACCAGAGCAGAACAGCCATCCCAATAAGAAACCGGAGCAGAATGAGGAACCGAAGCAGAACGAGGAACCGAAGCAGAACTGCCATCTAAACAAGAAACCGGAGCAGAACGAGGAACCGAAGCAGAACTGCCATCTAAACGAGGAACCAGAGCAGAACTGCCATCTAAACGAGGAACCAGAGCAGAACTGCCATTCAAACAAGGAACCGAAGCAGAACTGCCATCTAAACAAGAAACAGGAGCAGAACGAGGAACCGAAGCAGAACTGCCATCTAAACAAGAAACAGGAGCAGAACGAGGAACCGCAGCAGAACTGCCATCTAAACAAGGAACCGGAGCAGAACTGCCATCTAAACAAGGAACCGGAGCAGAACTGCCATCCCAAAGAGGAACCGGAGCAGAACAACGAACTGGAGAAGAACTGCCATTCAAACGAGGAACCGGAGAAGAAAGAGGAACCAGAGCAGAACTGCCATCTAAAAGAGGAACCGGAGCAGAACTGCCATCTAAAAGAGGAACCGGAGCAGAACTGCCATCTAAAAGAGGAACCGGAGCAGAACTGCCATCTAAAAGAGGAACCGGAGCAGAACTGCCATCTAAAAGAGGAACCGGAGCAGAACTGCCATCTAAAAGAGGAACCGGAGCAGAACTGCCATCTAAAAGAGGAACCGGAGCAGAACTGCCATCTAAAAGAGGAACCGGAGCAGAACGAGAACCCAGAGCAGAACTGCCATTCAAACAAGGAACCGGAGCAGAACTGCCGTTCAAACGAGGAACCCGAGCAGAACCGTCGTCCAAACAAGGAACCGGAGCAGAACCGTCGTCCAAACAAGGAACCGGAGCAGAACCGTCGTCCCAACGAGGAACCGGAGCAGAACCGTCGTCCAAACGAGGAACCGGAGCAGAACCGTCGTCCAAACGAGGAACCGGAGCAGAACCGTCGTCCCAACGAGGAACCGGAGCAGAACCGTCGTCCCAACGAGGAACCGGAGCAGAACCGTCGTCCAAACGAGGAACCGGAGCAGAACCGTCGTCCAAACGAGGAACCGGAGCAGAACCGTCGTCCCAACGAGGAACCGGAGCAGAACCGTCGTCCCAACGAGGAACCGGAGCAGAACCGTCGTCCCAACGAGGAACCGGAGCAGAACCGTCGTCCAAACGAGGAACCGGAGCAGAACCGTCATCCAAACGAGGAATCGGAGCAGAACCGTAGCAGAACCGTCGTCCCAACGAGGAACCGGAGCAGAACCGTCGTCCAAACGAGGAACCGGAGCAGAACCGTCGTCCAAACGAGGAAGCGGAGCAGAACCGTCGTCCAAACAAGGAACCGGAGCAGAACCGTCAGCCAAACGAGGAACCGGAGCAGAACCGTCAGCCAAACGAGGAATCGGAGCAGAACCGTCAGCCAAACGAGGAATCGGAGCAGAACCGTCAGCCAAACGAGGAACCGGCGCAGAACCGTCGTCCAAACAAGGAACCGGAGCAGAACCGTCGTCCAAACAAGTAACCGGAGCAGAACCGTCGTCCAAACAAGGAACCGGAGCAGAACAGGAGCAGAACCGTCGTCCAAACAAGGAACCGGAGCAGAACCGTCGTCCAAACGAGGAACCGGAGCAGAACCGTCGTCCAAACAAGGAACCGGAGCAGAACCGTCGTCTAACCTCTATGTCTCCTCATGGCTAAATAAAATCTCACACACCATTCGTTCACATTTGTTTTTTTTATAATTCACATCTCAGTAAAATCTACTTCAATACACTGAAAGTACAAGAAAAAAATAGTATATTATACTTCAAATGTGGAACTTTTTTCGTCTTTACATGGATGCAGACATCCTAAGGTTCCCTTTTAAGGAAGAGTAGAAAAAGAAGAAGCGCGGGGGGGTCGGTGCTGAGGACCAACTGAAGGCTGACTGCAGCTGTTCCCTCTGTCGGCCAGCAGGGGGCAGAGTCTGATCAGATAAACTTTCTCCTTCAGGCTTTGCATAGTGTTCTGAGTGGAACAGCAGGGGGCGCTGTGGAGCTAACATGAACTGAGTATCAAAAAGCTTTTTACATTTCATTTTACATTTCAGAGTCTGTGATGGGGGTAAAAAAAAGAACAAATTCATTTACAATCCAAGGCCGCCCATGTTGGGGGGGCAATCAGGAAGCAGCTCTTAGCTACAGTGGGTGGGGCGGGGGGGTCTGGGTGTCCTTCACTTCCTGAGCAGTGTCCACATTCACTAGAACCCCCGGTCCGACCCGGGCCTTCAGGACGAAGGTTCCTCAGCTGGCGCTGGGCTGGACAGCGGAGGCGGCTCGGCGGCCTCTGCCTGGGCGGGAGCCGCCTGGCTCACCTGCAGGGACAGGTGAGGCAGAGGCTGGGCCACGGCGGCCGGTTTGGCCAGGATGAGCTGGGGGGCGGTCCGGCCCGGGGCCAGCTGGACGGCGGTCGGTTTGATGGCGGTCTGCGTGGCGACAGGCTTAGCCTGGATGATCTGGGTCAGCTGGCCGGGGGGGCTAGTCTGCATCAGCGTGGCCAGCTGGTTGGCTGGGATGGTGATGATGGTGATCTTCTCCCCCGCCTTGGAGCCGGCCGGCAGCATCGTGGGCAGCGCCTGGATCACCAGCTTGGGCGCAGCACTGCTCACCGGGACCCCGGAGGCGGTGGTGAGGATGGGGGAGGAGTTCAGCGTAACCTGACCCAGAGAGTTGGTCATGACCAGCGGCACGGCGCGGATGGGCCTGCAGGACAGAAGCACAGGAAGTCAGCGTTGCCATGGTTCTACTCTGACCTGGTTCTGGAGGCGACTGGCAGACCTGGTGGCGGCGCTGCTGGGGATCACCGTCACGTAGGTCTGCTGAGGCTGCGAGCTGGCCGGGGAGCTGGAGCCCAGGCTGGCAGGGCTCTGCTGGTGACCCGGGTGCGAAGTGGACATCATCACCTCGCTTTCCTCCACCTTCATCTCCATTCCTCCCTCGTCTTCATCGATCACTCGGATGTTTTTGGGCATTTCTTTAAACTGGTAGGCGAGTCGCTGACCCTCCACCTTGGCCAGGATGCCTCTCTGGTAGTAATACCTGCAGAGGAAGGCTCAGAGTCATCATCATCATCATGCAGAGGTGGCTGCTGAGGGAATGGGGTCGGCGCTGACCTGAGGGCCCGGCCCATGGTCTCATAGTTCATGTCTGGCTTATTCTTGTGCTTCCCCCACAGTCGGGACACGGCTTTGGAGTCGACCAGCTTGAAGATGCCTTTGTCCCTCTGCATCCACTTGATGTACCTGGGACAGGTGTTCTTATCCTGCAGCAGCTCCAGCAGGAACTCCCACAGATACGTGGTGTTTCCTGGGGAACGGACACAGCAGCATCAGAGCCTCAGAACGGACACTTCCTGGACAGACAGGAAGTAAAGACCAACCTTTTCCTTCCCTCGGCCTCTTCTTGATGCCCAGGTCGTAGGAGCCATTGGAGGCAGGCTGCTGTGTTCTGGGTTTACGCCCACCTGCACTCAGCAAACACATTGGATTTCAGAACAAAAAATTATAGACCTATATCCAATCTTCCTTTCTTATCCAAAATTCTTGAGAAAGTAGTTGCCAAACAAGTTTGCGATCACTTCCACCATAATGAACTTTTTGAAGAGTTTCAGTCTGGCTTTAGAGCTCATCATAGCACTGAAACAGCTCTGGTGAAAGTCACTAATGATATTCTCATGGCCTCAGATAATGGACTTGTATCTGTGCTCGTCCTGTTGGATCTTAGTGCTGCATTTGATACAGTTGACCATAATATTCTTTTAGAAAGACTTGAATATTTTGTTGGAATTAAAGGAACAGCACTAGACTGGTTTAAATCTTATCTATCTGATCGAATTCAGTTTGTTCACGTTAATGATAGATCTTCAACACGCTCAAAGGTTACCTGTGGAGTACCACAGGGATCAGTGCTAGGACCAATTCTCTTTACTTTATACATGCTCCCAATCGGTAGAATTATTAGACAGCATGGGATTAATTTCCACTGTTATGCTGATGATACCCAGCTATATCTGTCTATAAATCCAGATGAAGCTAACCCATTACATAGATTACAGGCATGTCTGAAGACATAAAAACCTGGATGACTCTTAACTTTCTGCTTCTGAATGCAGACAAAACAGAAGTTATAGTCTTTGGACCAGAGTCTCTGAAAAAGAAACTGATTAGCCAGTCACTTCATTTGGATGGGATTAAACTGATTTCAGATAATAAAGTAAAAAATCTTGGTGTTATTTTTGATCAGGACCTGTCATTTAAATCCCATATCAAAGAGGTTTCTAGAATTTCCTTCTTTCATCTGAGGAACATTGCAAAAATTAGAAATATCCTGTCCAGGATTGATGCTGAGAAACTAGTCCATGCATTTGTTACCTCAAGGCTGGACTATTGTAATTCTTTATTATCAGTAGGTGGCCTCATGGAAGTTTTTAAACTAAAAATCAATGAGACAAAATTTGCATGTATATAATCTTGTAAATTTGCTAGATTTTCTTCTCATTTTGCATGTTTAAAATCTTGAAATGTGAATGTTTTATTCTCCTGACTGTTCTACTTGTTTCTCTGTGCATCTTTATCTTGTAAATATGCCACATTAAACTCAGGTTGTCTTTCAATGGCCATGATACGCCGTCCAACCATCTGATTGTTCCTTATGTTCCTAACAGAGCACTTCGCTCTCAATCTGCAGGTTTACTAGTGGTTCCTAGAATTTCTAAAAGTAGAATGGGAGGCAGATCTTTTAGTTATCAGGCTCCTCTCCTGTGGAACCAACTACCAGTTTTAGTCCGTGAGGCAGACACCCTGTCTACTTTTAAGGCTAGGCTTAAAACTTTCCTCTTTGATAAAGCTTCTAGTTAGAGTGGCTCAGGTTATCTAATGTAGAAAGTGGTTATAGATCAGTGCTTTTTTATGTCTCCTTGAACCCCCGGTCAAAGTTTTTCCTCTCCAGTGTCACTGTATGCATGTTCAGTGGGAGGGATTGCTGCAGAGTCAATGGCTGGTTTTTCGCAGGTTGAAACTCCTCTGATGATCTGATTGAACCGTTTCTATAAACTGATGTGTTCTGGCCTGGAGCTCCAGAAATAAACTAATTAGAATAAAGAGATTAAATAAACGTAGAATTCTTTATTCATCTGGAGGTGGATGATTTTATGCAGTTAAGGTCCATATATGGAGTGAGCACGGGTTCTGTTTGCCGAGTCGGTCGGCCCAAACTCACCTCCTCTCTTCTTCTTGGCAGCGGGTTCGCAGTCGGCAGCGATGGGGAAGGCATCCTCCTCGATGGGTCCGCACTCCGTAGAGACCTCCACCACCGTCTCCATCATCACGTCCTCAGCTGGAAGGAGACACAGCGCCATAGAAACAGAGATTACGGGATGCCTCAGCTGCTCTGTTGGACCCAGCTCAGGCTCTGCTGCGTCCGGATCAGCCTGGGCGGTTCTGTTCATGATGAAGCGGACCTCTCGGACCGTTTACCTGTGCTGCGCTCGCTGTGGAGGCCTCCAGGAGACTCCATGTGGAGCAGAGCTTCTGCCGCCTCAAACGTCTTGTCGAAACACACCATGTCGTGGCCGCTGATCTCCACTGAGGAAGAGAACCAGACGGAACCGGTCAGAACCGTTCAGCCGCTGCCTTTTTCAAATGTTTACTTCCTGGTGTGACTCTGGGTTCCTCCCTTCTCGTTTCCTCTGACCGTCCTGCTCCGTTCCTGCCAGCAGGGGGCAGCCTGAAGCCAGAACTCACCGGACTCTGCCACCTCCGTCACCACCTCCTGCTCCTCAGCCACGTCCTGCATCAGGTACGTCCCGTCGTCGTACACCAGGACCTGGGCCGAGTAGCACTCCTCCACCTGGGCGCTGGGCACCTCCTCCACGATGACGGCGGGAGAGCCCTCCTCCTCCTGCACCACCACCCCCTCCTCCTCCTCCTCCTCCACCATGATCACCGCCTCTCCATCCTGCTCCACCACCTCCTCCTCCTCTTCCTCAGCGGGCTGCGGCACAAAGCGGACAGACAGGAAAAGGTTTTGTTTCTGCAGCCGCTCTGACATGAAGTCTGGGACTTTTCTAGATTCCCAGAGGAGCAGCTGGAGCTGAAGCAGCTGCAGTTTCCTCCTCCTGAGCCTCCTGCAGTCAGAGGAGCAAACGTCCCACTGGATGTTCAGTCACTGAGGAATGAAAGCTCCCCCTGTTCAGCCCTCAGCTGGTTAATAACCCATTAAGAGCAGCTTTAGCTCCGCTGGAAACTGGTGGAAAACCAGTCAACTTTACAATGAATCAGTTGAGTTTAGAAGGAATCGGCTCTTCTATAGTTAGAGGCTGCAAACCTTCAGGACAATAACCAGAATCAGCTTATTCTCTGGTTCAGCAGCTGAGGCGCTGCTGCTCCTTCCATCTCACATCTACAGCGTGGTTTGTTCATAAACGCATCTTAGAAGCTCAAACTGAGGCTTCTCTAACATCCATTATCATCATTAGGTGGGGGGTGGGGGGATGGGGGTTCCCACGCACAATATTTAAAAAGACTATGGCAGCCATCGAGTACAAATTCACATGAAGACATCAAGTCGTCTGCGTCTATTTCACTGAGAGTTTTATTTTTCCCACTTTGAATGCATCATAAACCCCTCCTCCAAACAGGATTATTTTCTCGCACTCTACAGCAACTGCTAAACTAAACATGGTGACAGCAGGTGCTTCAGCTGAACGATATGCGGCAGCGGTTTGGATTTCACGCCGCGGACGTCAAGCGAAAGGCCATCATTTTTAGGATGCGAAAAAGAAAAAGAAGGAGTATAAATTTATTCCACCAGCTAAAAAGTAATCCGCTGCAAACTCTGCATGTCAGCGTCTCCCTGCTCACCAATTAAAACGTTCAATCGGCTGTGAAGCCGATGGCGTTGGCCTCGTGTTTGAAGAAACGATCCCATAAGAGAGAAACAGGAAGCAATGGAGGGAAATCAGAGACGATATTTAGGACGTATCTAAGTGTTGTTTAGATGCTCTAATACCAGATGTGATGTTCAGATGTTTTACTAAACTTGGCAATGTTCTCAGCTTTATAACTTGTTGTGCCTCTTTCTAATCCCCAGCAGGTAAAGATCAGTGATAATAGATGCTCGGGTTTCTGGACAATATTTCCACTTTTGTTTTTTTGGGAGCTGAGGTCATTTTTTTTTTTATTCTGCATCAAAGAGCCTTTTTTATTTTCCATTTTATCTAGTATCGTGTGTTTTAGTTTCCATTCCTGTTTGGTTGCTGGGATCTTGTTAAAGGTCTAATCCTGACACCCAAAGACAGAATGTGGCAGAAAAGCTTTGATCTGGTTAAAATCAAATGTTTTCCATTTAAAACCAAAAATTTGAATGAGTAGATTTATTGTTTTTGAAGGTAATTTAAACATAAGATGATATATAGGGTGATTATAGCCCAATTATATTGTGATGTTTGATTATCTTCATATCGTCCAGCTCTAGATCTAGTAACAATTAGACTTAGACAACTTTTGTTATTTTCTAAACACAGAGTGAACAAAAAACTACATTTTGTTTACTGCAGCTTTCCAAACAGTAAATGAACGTTTCCATTATTGCAAAAAAATGCACTGATCTGGAAGTTTAGAGCATCTATGAGAGTTGGTCCATTCTGTTATCAGTGACGGACGATGCAGAGCAGGAGTGATGTAACGGAGGTCTGAGGGGATTTTTTTCTTAGCTGTCTTACGCCGCCTCCCAGAGCGCGGCTGCTACTTTTGTTGTTTATATCCGTCTAAAGCGCTCCACAGCTTTTTAAACGGTCAAGAGGAGCTGGATTTAAGAGTCCAGAAACAACATTTAGTGGCCGTAGCTCCAGCAGGCGCTGGCGGTGGTAGATGCAGGATCCATGCCTGATCTGTAGCTTTCTAATCAGACTAGTTTGTGTATTTGTTCGGAGCTGTACGAAAACGCCGCCTTCAGGCGCAGACATCTTGTTAATCCGATGAATCAATTATTTAAATATTCATCAGCTGATTTAGTAGAGGGTTCCCACAGCTTACGGCGAGTTAGATCCAAGACTTTGTAAGACTTTTTAATGTCGAGACCAACAGCGAGAGATTTACCCAAACATTTATTGAACATAAACCATTACTTTCTGGCCCAGTAGAAATGTTTCAAATGCTGAAAAACTTTCAATAGAGGAAGAAATCTAAAAGCAAATAACATCTATTTTAACAATTCCTTTGTTTCGTTCCCGACTCTTTAGCTCTGCTTTCATCGCAGGCGAACCGTCAAACATCATCCAGAGGTTTGTAGCTGCTGCTGGTGATGATGATGTGGAGGCGTTGCAGAGAGGAGGGAGAACACCTGCTGCTTTGATAATGACGCTTCGCACGTCTGTCTCCACTGCTTTGATTCCCACCGTGTCTCATCTACATTCTCTAGTTCTGGTTTTAGCCAGATAGAAAGAAGATTTTCATTATTTCACACTTCCCCATGTGGTCTAGATAAAAAGTTAGCGGTGCATCACCCCAAAAAGGTCCAGCAGCAGCATGGTTCTCATTGGTTCCGCTATTGGGATGGAACCAGCAACGGTTACAGCCACAAACATTGTTGTTTTTACGGCACTAGTGGCTGGTTTTTGGACAGTAGGCAGACAGGAAAGGGAGAATGAGAGGACCAGAGGTCGGACTCGAACCCAAGTCGGCCACATCGAGGGCCTCCGTAGATATTTTTATTGGAGAATTCGATGCCTTTAAGACTTTTTAAGGATCCATAGGAACCCTGTAGTGATCTATTAATGGTTACCTAGAGTACAGAGACTATATAACCTGCCTTTAGCCGACAGAGACCCACTTAGAGCAGCAGTTATGGAAAAATAGTTTAAAAATATATAAACATTTTGCATTTAAGATAAACTTTCTAACCTGTCACTCTGCTCCAGAGCTCCTGAAGTTTTAGTTTCATCTGGTTTAATTTCATTAAAATATCTTCATTAATGAAGCCTTGTCTATATGATTCTTAATGACTTCATCCAAACAGTAATGGACAGATTAATCAATTAGCTAAATAAAGATTAGCTGCAGCCCTGCTGTGGGATCATTTTCATGACTGTTGGTCCTACAGCCTGTGTTCCTCCATCCACTCTGCTACCGTCTGTGGGTTCATTGTAGCCAGCTGCTAGCTGTGTTAGCCGCTAGCCCAGCTTATCGCTACCCCATCCGTCCCATCCGCTCAGCCAGATATTCATTCGGGTCGCCCTTGATTTTAATTTGGAAAAAACATAAATTACATTATCCCTCCCTAAAAACAGTAGAAAAGCTAAACTATAACATGTTAAAGGTTAATAATTTATTTCTTGGGAGAAAAAAAATGCATTAAATTCCTTTGTTTTATCACTCTGTGACCATCTGTAGTGGAAATGGGATCCTACGCTACTTTCAGCAGCTAACTGTATCGGCTTTGGATTTAAACATAAATCTAGTCCGAGTAGATTTTTAGCTATTTTTTCCTTTCTTGTTATCCTTCTAGTATAAAGTGCGTAATGGTGAGATGGATAAATATCTGCTTGCACAGAGGAGCTCTATGGGAGAATTATCCTGCCATAATGCAAGAGCACATAATTTCAATTTGAGAAAAGAATTTCATCTTCTTGCACTCAAAACTTATAATGCTCACACTCCAAACATGCGCTCTCTCTCAAATATTTTCTCTTCTCTCTCAAATCTTTCTTTCTTCTCTCAGATTTAATGCTTCTTGCACAGATATTCTCTCCTCTCGCTTGCCTCCTTCTCTTCGCGCACAAACCGCGCTCTGCTCGAGTCTCAGATACGCTCGCATACCCGTAGGCTCTGCTTGCGGATTTTTTCTGCTCTCTCTCAGATTGCACTTGGATCGTCGCCTGCAACCTTTCCAGCCAATAGAACGACAGCTTAGGAAAGGGTGCGCTTGTTTAACCCTACTGAGTGTGCCTGTGCTACTACACCACTTATAAGAGCATCAGCTGAAACTGCTATTTAAAGTAGTTTAGTAGCTCGATTCAGCAAAGTTCAGTACGTATGGTTAACCCAAACAATTCTGAAGTAAGTAATTTTAAACAATTAGTGGTCTGTTATGTACAAAAGCAAAGAATCGACATATTAAATTATTATATTGATTATTATTATACTCTTACAGCAGTGTGTTGCAGTGAGCTTGACACACACGTTTTTGATTTATGCTCAACATTGAAGCGTGGTCTGAGCTACACACTGTGGGTCTAGATACGGCCGAGGCGGCGAGGAAGTGGGGGCAAGTTTAGTCCGACGAGGGAGGGACATGAGGGCCAAAAAGAGCGGAGATCCAGGTGGAAAAAGGGTCCCAGTGTTCTAGCGCTCAAACCTCATGAGTTGTTCTCCGCAATTTCGGTCATAAAAACAAAACAGACCGGCCTCCTGTCTGCAGCACTGTCTGCGGTCAGCTACAATTTAGGAGAGGAGCAGCGGAGCGTCTGTGGAGGGGGCGGGGACGTCTGGAGCCGAGGTATTGAATTGCACTCATCGCACTGATTTTGTGCAGAATTTTTGATGCAAGGCCTTTCAGATTCTATAACAATGAGGCATTATTATTTTTCAGTGAATGAGGTTTTAACAGGAATAGGTGGAGTGCAACTTTTCTACTTCTGTTATCTGCGGTTGTTTCTCAAATAAAATGCAAAACGATATTAGAGCTTTCATTGATTTAGTTCAAATTTAAAACATTGTTTAGCCTGTAAGGTATAAAAAAATAAAAATAAAGTAAACCAATTAATGGAATCGAATCGTATCGTGGGGTGTTCTTGAGTATCGAATATAATCGAATCGTTGGGTCAGGATATCGATACTGAATGGAATCGCCATGATGGATGTGATATACACCCCTACTCTGTTGGAAGCAATGTTAGTTGCTAGGCAACAGCGTCGAACGTCAATCAACCGGGGGAAGAATTTGCAATGCAATAGAGTTGTCAATCATCAGGGTAAAGTTAACCATATTTATTTTTTTACGTTTTTATTTTATTTAAGGAAAAGTCAGTTAACATGAGCAACATAAGATTAATGGAAATAAACTTCTTTTACTTTAAAATCTCAGAACCGTCAACATGACGGTAGTTCTAGCGTTAACTATAATATGATAGAACACAGCTTCATAAAATGTTTTATGGTTTTTGGGTTTAATGCTTTTTAGATTTTCTTTGTTAAACTGCTTCTGTGACATCATCATGGGTCATGCTCAGATTAGTACGGAAAAATATAATGAAACCATGTTTATCTGCATTTCAGTTGTTTATTTCATAACCATACACCATAACGTTAACACGAAAGGAAAACTTTCAACTTGAAAAGACACGGTGGTTTATTAAAACTCGTTATTTTTGGGGAGAGAGTTTTTGTCTCTTTTATAAAGTCAGATGTGAAGGAGAACCCTGGATGAGCTCCTCTGGACAGAGAAGGAGAGTCTCTGCTCCAACATCAGCAGCTTTGAGCAGAAACGATATGAGCAACGTTTCAATTTTAGCTCCTAACACTCCAAACTCTGGGCAGTTAATGATGGAGTCAATTTCATGACAACAAGAAATTTCTGGCAGGAAATGAGATGAGTTTCTCAACCAATTAACATTTTTAAAGAAATGGAAACCAAACCAATTTAAACTTTTGCTTCAATCATCATCATCGCTCCACCCAGAGCAGCTCGGACTGCGTCATCCAGTCTCCCAGAACAGAATTGGCGTGAGAGAAAAGCATCAGACTCACCTGCTGGGACTCCTCCACCACAGTAACATACTCCACTAGGTTTCCTCCTCCATCTGACACCACCACAGAGTTCATCACTCATTCCTGCCAAGAGAGGAGCAACAAGTCAGGAGGAGGAAAAGCTCCATCTGATATCAGAGATCTGATTGTTCCTTATGTTCCTCACAGAGCACTTTGCTACCCCTTTTTCATCATTCTGCTTCATTCTGTCTCTATTCTCTCACTCTGCAGAATCTGTTAGTTCAATCTCTAACGTTCTGCTCTCTCTGCTTTTTCTCATAGTAGCTTCATCTGGTCTGTTCCTGTTTGGCTGTGACTCCATCCTGGAGAGAAATATCAGCTGTGCTGCTGCCATCAACACCTTTGTTTCTAGATGTTGGAGATCAGCCTTTTTTTCAGTGTAGTCCTGTTTCTCTGACTGTGACTAACTGGATGTGCTCTCTTCATCCTCTGACATGGGAGCTGGCTCGGAGCTCGTCTGCCTGGCTGTGTGTTTCCTGGACGGGGCCGTCTGTGGAGCTGGTTGACAGGTGCCTTTTGTATCTATGCTTCTTTTTCTATGTCTGCTTCTGTCTCCTTGAACCCCAGTGGGCCTCAGCAGATGGCCGCTCACACTGAGCCTGGTTCTGCTGGAGGTTTCTTCTTGTTCAAAGGGAGTTTTTCCTCTCCACTGTCGCTACAAGCATGCTTAGTGTGAGGGATTGCTGAAGAGTCAATGAGTCGATGCAATCACCTGGTTTTCCTTAGATAGAAAGCTTTGAATCGATTTGACTGGATGATCTGGTGAACTGGAAAGTGACCTGAGATTAAATGTGTCGTGAATTGAAGCTATATAAATAACCTGAATTGAAGAGTGTGAGGGGGGAGTGGGGTCTCCTTTGACAGCAGAACACAACATTTCCCTGCTGAGATAGAAAACCCAGCACCTAAACAATGATCATCTGATCAGCCTTTAATGCTGCAGCGAGCTGAGCAGAGGGAGGGCTGCGGTTGACCATCAGGTCTAGGAGGCCTGGATCACCTGCTCTCCCTGAGGAGAGCCAGGCTGTGGCTCAGAGCTTCCCTGTGATGCTAAATGATCCTCTAAACAACAGCTTCAACTTCTGAACAGATCGGATTTTCTTCTTTTAAACCCAACATGTCAGCAGGAGATCCAGCGCAGGTGTAATCGGGTGACCGTGTCTGCAGGGCTGCTTCCTGACAGCTTTACTGTAAACAAACCAGAGATCCTGCTCTGCAAACAGGCAGCAACAGAAAACAAACAGCCTGCTAGCTCAGACCCGGGTTAAAATCATCATTCAGTAAAGGCTGGAGGCTGTGAGGATGTCTGGAGCCCCCGGCAGGTCCCATCAGCAGCTAATGTTTACCTTCTGAGCGGGATGGGAGCTCCACAGCATCCGGGCTACATTAGCTGTTAGCTCATCACTGCCCGTTAAAGCAGAAAACATCTGGAAATCACAGCAGCTGCTTTTCTCTAGGAACAGCGACCTGAGCAGCTTCTCAGAGCTAGCAGGCAGCTAGCCTCTAAACGCGTTTAAAGAAAGTCAACGTTCAGAGTCTATAAGGAGCAACAACAGGAAGCTTTAATGGTGATAAAAGCCCGCAGGACTTTCCTTCTCCTACCTTGTTTTGCTTCTGTTAGCGGGAAGTGAGCTCCACTGCTAGCAGCAGCTAGGCCCCAACTTAGCCTCTGTTAGCCGACTTTACGGGACCAAATACTCCCTTCCGCCGCCTCTGCGGATAGTTCCCCAGGCCTCGGTGCCGCGGAAGTCCGAACCCGGGACCCTCTCAGGGCGCTGGAGGTTAAACCCGCGGGTCGATGCGCCTCTCAGGGCTCCGAGTTGAGCTTCTGCTTCCGATGGAGTCCTGATAGCCCGTTAGCTTTCCGGTGTGCCGCCTCTCTGCTACAAATGATCCGACGGGTCAAAGCACACCGCCCTGACGTCACACGCACAGAAGCGCAAACTGCTCTAAATTTGGGCAGAGGCGGATGCGCCATCTAGTGGAGCGAGAAGAGAAAGTTTTGTTTACAGGCAAATAGAATCGATTTTATTGGAAACTGAACCAGGCTCTGGAGCTTAGTGACGTAAAGTAGTTTAATTAAATTATTTCTGGCGAGAAATTACTTATCACAAATTAAATTAAACTTTTTTAAGGCACCATTACCCCTGGTGACCCCAGCTGACATAAGCTTGGATTGTGATGGATGGATGGATGGATGGATGGATGGATGGATGGATGGATGGATGGATGGATGGTTGAAATGGTGATGGATGGATGGATAGATGGATGGATGGATGGATGGATGGATGGATGGATGGATGGATGGTTGAAATGGTGATGGATGGATAGATGGATGGATGGATGGATGGATGGATGGATGGATGGATAGATGGATGGTTGAAATGGTGATGGATGGATGGATGGATGGATGGATGGATGGCTGAAATGGTGATGGATGGATGAATGGATGGATGGATGGATGGATGGATGGATGATGGATGGATGATGGATGGATGAATGGATGCTGTTACCCCAGCAGAGGCTAGAAGAAGATGATGCTGTTACCCCAGAAGATGATGGAGGAAGATGATGCTGTTACCCCAGAAGATGATGGAGGAAGATGATGCTGTTACCCCAGAAGATGATGGAGGAAGATGATGCTGTTACCCCAGAAGATGATGGAGGAAGATGATGCTGTTACCCCAGAAGATGATGGAGGAAGAGCATGCTGTTACCCCAGAAGATGATGGAGGAAGATGATGCTGTTACCCCAGAAGATGATGAAGGAAGATGATGCTGTTACCCCAGAAGATGATGGAGGAAGATGATGCTGTTGCCCCAGAATATGATGAAGGAAGATGATGCTGTCACCCCAGAAGATGATGGAGGAAGAGCATGCTGTTACCCCAGAAGATGATGGAGGAAGATGATGCTGTTACCCCGGCAGAGGATGGAGGAAGATGATGCTGTTACCCCAGAAGATGATGAAGGAAGATGATGCTGTTACCCTAGAAGATGATGGAGGAAGATGATGCTGTTACCCCAGAAGATGATGGAGGAAGATGATGCTGTTACCCCAGAAGATGATGGAGGAAGATGATGCTGTTACCCCAGAAGATGATGGAGGAAGAGCATGCTGTTACCTCAGAAGATGATGGAGGAAGAGCATGCTGTTACCCCAGAAGATGATGGAGGAAGATGATGCTGTTACCCCGGAAGATGATGCTGTTACCCCAGAATATGATGAAGGAAGATGATGCTGTTACCCCAGAAGATGATGGAGGAAGAGCATGCTGTTACCCCGGAAGATGATGGAGGAAGATGATGCTGTTACCCCAGAATATGATGGAGGAAGATGATGCTGTTACCCCGGCAGAGGATGGAGGAAGATGATGCTGTTACCCCGGCAGAGGATGGAGGAAGATGATGCTGTTACCCCAGAAGATGATGAAGGAAGATGATGCTGTTACCCCAGAAGATGATGGAGGAAGATGATGCTGTTACCCCAGAAGATGATGAAGGAAGATGATGCTGTTACCCCAGAAGATGATGGAGGAAGAGCATGCTGTTACCCCAGAAGATGATGGAGGAAGATGATGCTGTTACCCCGGCAGAGGATGGAGGAAGATGATGCTGTTACCCCAGAAGATGATGAAGGAAGATGATGCTGTTACCCCAGAAGATGATGGAGGAAGATGATGCCGTTACCCCAGAAGATGATGGAGGAAGATGATGCTGTTACCCCGGCAGAGGATGGAGGAAGAGCATGCTGTTACCTCAGAAGATGATGGAGGAAGAGCATGCTGTTACCCCAGAAGATGATGGAGGAAGATGATGCTGTTACCCCAGAAGATGATGGAGGAAGATGATGCTGTTACCCCAGAATATGATGAAGGAGGATGATGCTGTTACCCCAGAAGATGATGGAGGAAGAGCATGCTGTTACCCCAGAAGATGATGGAGGAAGATGATGCTGTTACCCCAGAATATGATGGAGGAAGATGATGCTGTTACCCCAGCAGAGGATGGAGGAAGATGATGCTGTTACCCCGGCAGAGGATGGAGGAAGATGATGCTGTTACCCCAGAAGATGATGAAGGAAGATGATGCTGTTACCCCAGAAGATGATGGAGGAAGATGATGCTGTTACCCCAGAAGATGATGAAGGAAGATGATGCTGTTACCCCGGCAGAGGATGGAGGAAGAGCATGCTGTTACCTCAGAAGATGATGGAGGAAGAGCATGCTGTTACCCCAGAAGATGATGGAGGAAGATGATGCTGTTACCCCGGCAGAGGATGGAGGAAGATGATGCTGTTACCCCAGAAGATGATGAAGGAAGATGATGCTGTTACCCCAGAAGATGATGGAGGAAGAGCATGCTGTTACCCCAGAAGATGATGGAGGAAGATGATGCTGTTACCCCAGAATATGATGAAGCAAGATGATGCTGTTACCCCAGCAGAGGATGGAGGAAGATGATGCTGTTACCCCGGCAGAGGATGGAGGAAGATGATGCTGTTACCCCAGAAGATGATGAAGGAAGATGATGCTGTTACCCCAGAAGATGATGGAGGAAGATGATGCTGTTACCCCAGAAGATGATGAAGGAAGATGATGCTGTTACCCCGGCAGAGGATGGAGGAAGAGCATGCTGTTACCTCAGAAGATGATGGAGGAAGAGCATGCTGTTACCCCAGAAGATGATGGAGGAAGATGATGCTGTTACCCCGGCAGAGGATGGAGGAAGATAATGCTGTTACCCCAGAAGATGATGAAGGAAGATGATGCTGTTACCCCAGAAGATGATGGGGGAAGATTATGCTGTTACCCCAGAAGATGATGGAGGAAGATGATGCTGTTACCCCAGAAGATGATGGAGGAAGATGATGCTGTTACCCCAGAAGATGATGGAGGAAGAGCATGCTGTTACCCCAGAAGATGATGGAGGAAGATGATGCTGTTACCCCAGAATATGATGAAGGAAGATGATGCTGTTACCCCAGAAGATGATGGAGGAAGAGCATGCTGTTACCCCAGAAGATGATTGAGGAAGATGATGCTGTTACCCCA